GCTTAGAATAACACTTCCTACATTCCGAAAGAATTGTCATTTTGTAACTTTATAAAATAAGCTCAACTCATCCAATTTCCATATAGTTACATTCCAACCAACAACTTATTACTGATCTTAAGTTTGAGTTTTGTAAATGAAAAATAAGTGTTGGGAGAGCTTCCCTTGTAGTGATCCGACCTACCTCAATTCTAGATTAATTAAATTTAATATGATTTCTAGATACGGGTTTAGTAAAAAAAATATATAGTTACATTCCACCCAGCTTACACTATCTTATAACCATCTCTCTTTCCTTGTTTATCTCTGTCTCAATTTCATTTCTCTCCCTCTCTCTGATCTATTTCCTTCATCATGTATTTTTCCAGTGAAAAAAGAACCACACTCCTCAATCTTATACGCATTTCAGCATTTGTTTTAATCCTTTTTGTCTCCATAACCCTTCTCAAAAATACCACAAAAACCGCTCACACCCCAGATTTACACATCCAGAATCATCTCCAAATCGCCCATGCCACATGCCAGGGCACATTGTACCGAGACCTCTGCGTCTCCACCCTCTCCTCTCTGCCAGATCTCAACTCCAAGTCGCTCCCGCAGCTCATCGCCGCCACTGTGAACCAAACCGTGTACGAAATCAGAGCTTCCACCAGAAACTGCACCCGCATTGAAACCAAAAGCCATCTCGATATCCTAGAACATAGAGCCTTAGATGACTGTCTGGAGCTTCTCAGCTACACCATGGAGGACCTGAAGTCGATTCTCTCCGAACTCTCCAGGAGAAAAGCGGTGTCGCAGAACCACCACGAGTTGCAGACAATCTTCAGCGCGGCGATGACGAACCAGTACACGTGTCTTGATGGGTTTGCTTATAGTAGAGGGCGTGTTAGGGACATTATCAAGAGAGGCATCTACAACATTTCTCATCACGTCAGTAATTCTCTTGTCATGCTAAACAAAATTCCCGGCGACAACAAGACATCGCCGTCCGAGGTTTTTCCGGGATACGGTCGGGTGAAAAATGGGTTTCCCAAATGGCTGAAACAGAAAGACCGGAAGCTGTTGCAGGCGACCCTGTATGAGACCAAATTTGACTTAATAGTGGCCCAGGACGGTACCGGAGACTTCACCACCATCAGCGAGGCGGTGGCGGCAGCACCGAACAACAGTGACACAAGGTTTGTTAAGATTAATTTATTTTTAGTGATTAATAATTCATAGTTCACAATCAATTTTATATAATTAAGGACATAAATTTGTTTCTTAATAGTCACAAAAGACATATACTAATAAAAATTTAATTGAGATAATATTTATTAAAAATTATGAGTTTAAAATTCTATAATGATAAATAATTAACTTATGATGTATAAATATATATGTATGAAATTAATGTTTATAAATTGAATTTGTAAAAAATTAAATAAAAAAATATTTTAAAATTACGTTATTTTAATAAAATATTATAAAATTAATGTTTATAAATTGGATTTGTAAAAAATTAAATAAAAAAATATTTTAAAATTACGTTATTTTAATAAAATATTATAAATAAAAATTAAAATATCTTCATTTTATTTTAAAAATAATTAAAATAATTTAAATTTTTAATAAAATTTTATTAAAATAATAAAATTTTAAAATATTTTTTATCTTTTTTTTACAATATAAATTAATATCTATTTTTTCTAAGGTGGTGTTATTGAGATAATTTTTTTTATACAATTTTTACATGTTATTAAATGAACAAATGCATTCAATATCATGGATCTCACATGAATTAAAAGAACCAATCATTTTAATAACATATCAGGTTGTACAAAAAAAATAAAATAAAAAGATTGCCCCATAACATTTCGCTTTTTTATATATACATATGCACAATCATGCACGAGTGAATTTATATGTTGATTCAGCCTCTGTTGGTTTTGTGGGACAGGGTCGTGATATATATAAAAGCAGGAGCATACTGGGAGAACGTGGAAGTGGAGAGGAAGATAAAGAATCTGATGTTTGTCGGAGACGGGATCGGGTAGACAGTAGTGAAGGCGAACTACTTGTTTGTTTGTATGATGCAGCGGGAATAAAGAATAGTGCTGTAATTTTTATTAGCATGGAAAGGTGTGAACTTAGAAAGGAAGGTGAGGGATCATTGACTTTAATGTCGACCCCAACAAGTTAGCATATATACTAGCTTTAAAGGGCAGGTGTGTGGGGGTTTATTTATTTTTTAAAGATAACTAAAAATGTGAAAAGAGAAAATTAAGGGACAACAATTTGGATTAGTTTTTTTTAAATATAATTGATAGTAGATAATTGATATTTAATAATTGATAATTATTATTATTTATAATTTAAAATATGTAATTTATTGTTTGATTAAAACTAATAGTTGATAATTATTTTCAAAAAATCAAAACAAACACCCCATAATATTATGATATTTAAAATGTAAAAGCATTTAATTAGTCATTAAATTTTAATTTTAAATAATTAAAGAAAATGTAGTTAATTTTTAATTTTAAATATACCTTTAACTTACATCATAATGGCACATGTTTTTTTTTTTAAAAAAAGAAACCTCTGGGCCCATTGGCATTGGATTTCACAAAGTCAAAAATTAAAATCCGAATGTTGGATATTACTGTAATTCCAACCATACCCAAGGTATTGAATTTCGTTGATGGGCCTTTATTTTTACATTCATGAGGCCCAAAGAGTCTAGTAACTTTACCCCAAACTTGCCCACATTCAAGTTTCACAACACCTTGAATTTAAAGGTCATCAATTGCTGAACTTGTGCTTCTTTGAGACTCAATTTTTGATGTATTAATTTTTAGTCCAATGTTTTGAAATAACACTAATCTGTTTCGTTTTAATTTGATCCCTTTCCAGCCGTGGTCGGGAATGGATTCATAGCCAAGGGTATAACCATTGAAAACGCGGCTGGACCAAGCAAACACCAAGCAGTTGCATTAAGGTGCGGTTCAGACCTCTCAGCATTCTATAAGTGCAGCTTTGTTGGCTACCAAGACACTCTCTATGTGCATTCCCTCAGGCAATTCTACCGTGAATGTAACGTATATGGGACGGTGGACTTCGTCTTTGGCAATGCAGCTGCCGTGTTTCAAAATTGCAGCTTATATGCTAGCAAACCAAATCCTAACCAAAAGAACATTTTCACTGCTCAAGGGAGAGAAGACCGGAATCAAAACACGGGGATATCAATTTTGAATAGCAAGCTGGTTGCTGCTGCTGATTTGATCCCGGAAAAGTCTTCGTTTAAAACGTTCCTAGGTCGACCATGGAAGGAGTACTCTAGGACTGTGATTCTACAATCATACATTGATGATTCAGTGGATCCTGCTGGATGGTTGGAGTGGAATGGTACATTTGCATTGAGCACATTGTATTATGGGGAGTATATGAACCGAGGACCAGGGTCCAACACGAGTGCAAGAGTAACATGGCCTGGATTTAGGGTCATCAATAGCTCGGCCGAGGCAAGCCAGTTTGCTGTTGGACCATTTATTCAGGGACAAGAGTGGCTGCATTCTACCAACATTCCTTATTTTCTCGATTTGATTAGTTGAGGAAAATGTAGTTAATTTCTTGATTTGAAGTTGACCACCTATTTCAGTGATTGATTAAGATGCTATTTCAGTATGAAATGGCTGTCATGTACCAAATAAATTACTCTGCTTTATGAAGATTTGACTTAAATCATAATATCTCCAGTGCAATTTAGTTGTCTTTTTGAATTTTTACGCACAATTTAGTTAACTCTCATCTTTTCTCAAAAGTGTATATGATTTTGATTTCAAGTTCTCTATACAACCATTAAAAACACAGTCAAGACTCGCTCCAGTGCTAAAGGTGGAGGATCGATTACCCTTATAACATTATACTTGAGTCTTGACTTGGGTGGATTACTATTCAACTAGGTCGATATTACTTTTAATATTTTCACTATTTATTATTATTTTAGTGTTTTGTAATTCGATATAATTTAAATTATAAAACACTTTTTTATTAGAGTGAGATGCAAATTATTTCAAAAAATTGTTGTGCTGAATTAAATCCTCACCCAAATAAAAAAAAAATTGATGTAATTTATCACTTCAAATTTTTATTTTTAAAAAGTTAACTTAAATTTAATAGTTATTATTAATTTTTTTGTTAAAATTCAAGAGTAATTGTTTAATAAAGTTTAACAAAAACAATTAAATTTAAGTCAATTTTTTTGAAAATAAAAATTTAGAATGGCAAATTACCGCAACGTTTTTTTTTTTTTTCTCTGAGTGATGATGTGTTTCAACCCAACAATTTAAAAGGCAATTTACACATTTAACCCTTTTTATTTTATTATAACCCTAAGGAAAATTGTGGGACTAGGACACATGAAAAAGTAGATTTATGAACTATTTTCAATTGAAATATTTATAATAAAATCATGTTATATGTTCATATTATATAATTTAAATTATATTAAGTTATAAAATAAAAATTATTAAATGAATTACTGTAATTGAATGAGATAATACTTGGTAGATAAAATGATAGTTTTTTTTTAATCTTGTTTACACAATACAAAGCAATCATCTATCATATTTTATTTCAATTTACTTGCATGTTATGTGACACGAATTTAAAATTTTTTCTTTTCAATAAAAAAAATATTAAATTATTTAAATAATTAATATAAAATAATAATATTTAATATTAAAAAATCTATTCTTATTCAAAATTTAAGTTATATACAATGAATTTCAGAACTTGGTACCACTTTTTTGTGTTTGTAATTGTATGGAGTACTTGAGATGAAAGATGATTTGTTTGATTTACGAGGGCAGGCCAGCAAGAGTCAAGTTATGGTCCCAAAGAGCCTACATAGGATGCCTAAAGTCCCTCTGAAAATCATACCGAATTCTAGGAAAGAACCGGAAATCACGGGATACAACTTCGAGTCACAAACCAAGGGATTTGAGACTCTTGTTCTGGGTTGGAATCTCTAAATTTGCCTATTGCAGCCTCTAGTCCTCTAGCAGTAAGGTGAGATGGATCCGTTGAACCCTATACATCTTTCCGGACTTCTTTGTAATAAAAA